TCTTCACTGAGGTTTGGCCCTGCAGTGCTCAAATAGAGACCATGTAGAAACATACAGCAGAGGACAGACGAATACAGTTTGGGCATTTCTGATACGACGACATACAGCAGTAGGTTTAAACTGGGGAGTCTGGAAGCAAAAGGCTTTAATCTCTGGCAATGCAGTAACCTTACAGAGGAGTAATCAGCAAAAGGGCAAGTCACTACTGCCTGTGATGGGGAACTGCTGAGGAATTCTAAAACTCTAGGAAAAGCTAAATGAGAGAGCTGGCAGCTGGCTTTTATTGCCTTACTGTGCACACCTTGGCACATTTCTCGTGCCCAGTGGGGTTCTGGTTCTTTGGTTCTCCTGCCCCATTACAGAATATACATCTATTGCTACATAGGCTATCTTGTCTCTCCGAAGTTTGGTCTTTTCACTGTTTTTTATTTGTAGTATTACTTATTTTTTTTCAACTAAGACGTATTTAGTGAGTTCCTTTTTTTGTGGCAGGTGCTTTGTTACATGGATAGGAAAATAAAATGTTTCCCTTTCTTCCAGGGAACATGCTTGGGGCCTATTGTTCCTTAAAGGCCACTGCGTGTTTACTTGCTTCCTTTTCGTTTAGTGTGTTTTAAGCAGCATGGCACTGTGTTTTAGCATGCAGGCTTTGGGAAGTTTGATTCCTCTTCCTCAGCTTCCAAAGTGCTAAGATTATGGGTGTGTGCTTCACCCAGACAATAATTTTCTTTATTTTAAAAGGCTTATTACTAAGTCAATAAAACAGCAATTCTTTCCTTCCATCTTCCCTCTTCCTCCTTCTACTTTTTCCGCTGAGTATAACACATAGGGCCTTGTGTATGCTAAATGAAAACTTGACCACAGAGCTATGCTGCAGCCCCAAACAGGTTTTTTTTTTTTCCCCAAGAAATTATTTTTTTATTAGTTCAAATTAGAAACAAGCCTGCGTCACATGTCAATCCCTTCTTCCTCTCTCTCCCCTCCCCTCCCCCCAGACCCCCTACCTTATCCCTTATCTGCTCCCCAGGGAGGGAAAGACCCTCCACGGGGGCTCCCCAAAGTCTGTCATATCCTGGGCAGGGCCCCCACCCCCCCACCTCTCCCCCCTCTGCTCCCCAGGGAGGGTAAGGCCCTCCATGGGGGTTCCCCAAAGTCTGTCATATCCTGGGCAGGGCCTAGGCCCTCCCCCATGTGTCCAGGCAGAGAGAGCATCCCCCCATGTGGATGGGCTCCCAAAGTCCCTTCTTACACCAGGGATAAATACTGATCCACTACCAGGAGCCCCATAGAGTGCTGAGGCCTCCTCATTGACATCCATGTTGAGGGGTCTGGATCAGTCCCGTGCTGGCCTCCCAGACATCAGTCTGGGGTCCATGCGCTTCCCCTTGTTCAGGTCAGCTGAAACAGGCTTTTAAAAAAACTTTCTTTTTATTTATTCTTTGTATCTTTCACATCATACATCTTGATGCCATTCATTCCCTTGTCCCTTTGTATCTGCCCTCTGCCATTGCAGCCTCCTCTCCCAAATAAAATAAATACAATTTAAGAGGAAAAAACTAAGAAAAATCAACCTTGTCATGAGAGCTATAGTGTCACACAGTGAGTCACACAGTAAACCTTTTTTTGTCCATGAATCTTTACTTGCAAGCGTTCATTCCAAAGAGCCATGGGTTTGGTTCAAGGCCTCTGGTTTCTGCCACACTATCAATGCTGGGCCCTCACTGGGACTTCTCTTGGTTATCCTGCTGTTGCCCTGTGTTATGGGGACCTGCAGCTTTGGGTCTGTAAGGACCGGTCCCTTCATGTGCTCCAGCAGATCACAGATGGGGTGGATGTTGGGGGTGGGCCAACTCATGACCCTGGTTCTGGGCCTAGGTAGTTGCAGGCTTGGTCAGTCTGCCAGTTCTCCCCTGTCTTCATCACCAGGGTGAGCTCTCCGGCATTGCCCTGGCTAGTTTACCCCTCGTAGCAATGAGAAAGGGATGAGGTTGGTTTTCCTGCTTTCACATCCTCAGGGACGGCACTCCCACGTCTGGACCATCAGGGATAGCTCTACTGCATTGCCCAGGCAAGTTGCAAATGCCTTCTCCTAAGTGCTGCAGCTGGTGAGGGGCAGCGACAACTAAGTTCTGATCTGTAGCCATGCTGAGAACCACTGCCTTAGGTTACTACACATAAATCCACTTCATTAATGGTTCCACAGTATTCCATATTGTGCCTGTACCAAAAATTATTTATTCATAAGGATCAGTAGTTACGAGCACTGGCTACTCTTCCAGAGGACCTGGGTTCAATTCCTAGTACCCACATGGTAGCTCATAATTGTAACTTCAGTTCCAGGAGATCTGACATTCTTTTCTAGTCACCACCAACACCAGGCACATACATGTTGCACAGACATACATTCAGGCAAAACATGTATATCCCTAAAATAATAAGATAAAACTTAAGAAACTTATTTCTGTATTGATAAGTACTGCTTGTTTCCAATACCCTGTTTTACTAAAAAGTATTCATTTTAACAAATTAATTTTACATCTTGGCCACAATTTCCCCTCCCCTCTCTCCTCTCATTCCCCACCACTCTGTTCCCACCCCCCAATTCACTCCTCCTCTGTTTCTATTCAGGAAAGGGCAGGTCTCCCATGGATATCAACAAAACATGGCATACCAAGCTGCAGTAAGACTAAACACCTCCCCATGTATTAAGGGTGGGCAAGGCAATCCAGTAGGAGGAATAGGGTCCCAAAAGCCAGTAAAAGAATCAGAGATGGTCCTTGTTCCTGATATTAGGAGTCCCACAAGAGGGCCAAGCTACACAACTGTAAAATATATGCAGAGTACTTAGGTCAATCCTTTGCAGGCTCCCTGGTTGTTGGTTCAGTCTCTGTGATCCCCTATGAGTCCAGGTTAGTTGATTCTGTGCGTTTTCTTGTGATGCCCTTGATTCCTCTGGCTCCTACAAAAAGTATTTCAGTTGAGTTCTATGAAATAAGGCCTCAAAAAAAAAAGAAATGAAATATTGAAAATGGTATTCCTTGGTCTAGATGTATAGACATTAAAATTCTCATTGGCACTGCCAATTTATCTCCCACAAAAAATTTTTAAGAATACTGACTTTCAGTAACACTATGCAGAGAATGATCAGTTTTCATGCATTTGTCAATGTGGCAAAAGAAATGTATTTGGTTTTAGTCTCTAATGTCCACTGAAGTTGAACAACTCTCACTTAGACATCTCATTTGTGATTCCTTTCCTGTGCTCTTTGTGTTTATATTCTTTGCTCATTTTCAATTTGAACATTTGTCTTTAACTATCAAATTTTAAGGGTTTTTTTTTGAATAAGAGAATATTCTCCTTTTCTGTCATATGTTCTGTCATCCCCTCCCCCGACTTCTCTTTGTCTTGATAACTTATATAGCACTATCATCTAACAAGATGTTGAGAATATACTATTAAATGTCACCCTTATGTGCTGTTTCCACAGTTGTCATGTTGGTAATCTTGTCACTATTATTCCTAATGGCTGGGTACAAGTCTAGTCACGTTTCACTACGTTCATTCAGAATTCCCCCACCCCAATCCCATGACTGTTAGGTTGCTTCAAATAGTGTTAGGTTTAATACCCCCCCCCCACCTTTAGCTTGTTCTGTAGTTTGGACACTGTAATTGATTACCTTACTGTAAGTGAAATAATTGGATCAAAGCTTTATTCTTTTGTGATTTGTACTGATTATCTTTTAGTTGCCTAACCAGCATGAACAATTAGGTGCAACGTGATAGTATTTGTACATCATATTTCCTGGCAGAAAAGTTGTATTGCAGAATTTAAAGAAACATAATTTGTGGCTTATTAGTTTTATTGTGAAGGAATGATTGGATTAACAATGTCTAAGAAGGTAATTTAGTATAAATAAAATGGTTTTGGAAACATACAATGTACAAGGCACCTGAAAAGTGTTGCAAGAGATAAATCATGTGGTTATTACTCTTTGAAAGATTAAAATTTTTGTACAATTAAAATCTAATTATGTTATTTCCCCCTTCCTTTTACTCCTTCCAATCCCTTCCACATATCTTCCCTTTCTCCCTCTCAAATTCATGGCCTCTTTTTCTTTAATTATTAATACACACATATATATAATATATATGTATATATAATATATACAAATATATACATGCATAAATATGTAAATGCAACCTGCCCAGTCCATTGAATGTTTTGTGTTACTTGTGTATATATCATTTCAGGGCTGATCACTTGGTACTGGATAACCAAATAGGGGTCTTAGCCCTGGGAAGACTATCACTTCCACTCTCAGTATTCCTGTAGTTCTTTGTTTAGGGCTTGGCCCCGTGAGAGTCCTCACTTCCATGTTAGTGTGTCTATTGGTATTGTACTTGTTCAGGTCTTTTTTAGACAGCCATATTGAAGGACCATGGGTGAAGCTTCCTTGTCATTTCTAGGAGACACTATCTCACAGCAGGTTTTCCAGGTCCTCTGGCTCTTACAATCTTTCTGTTACTTCTGTACTTTTAAAGAAAAGTTTAGTTAATGAGAATAAAAACTAAATTTCATGCTTTTTTATAGTTGAGTATAATAAAATAATTATAAAAGAGAAACTGGTTTTTATTGAATCAGGACAGCTTTCCTAAAGTCAGTGCTTTGGGATAATGAAAAATCAAGTAAAAGATACACAATATTTTAATGGCTGTAAAAGGACATTGGGTAAAAAAAAAAAGACTGCCAATGTTTTGAAGGTCACTTACCTTAATAGCAAAAGTCAAATAATGAGTTGTTTTAGTTGGAGTTTTATGATTTTAGAATTCTAGTCTGGTTATTCTGAAATGTAAATACAGGGTAAGGATTTTGGATAATTTACATATTCATGCTAAGTCTCATAGGAAAACATTCATTTCAACCTCTTCATCCCTTTTATTACTCAGGATAATTTAAAATTTATGCCCCATACTCCCAGATCCTCTGGAACACTCATTAGATGGGAGCTCTAAACCAAACGAGAGTGACTGAGTTTGTCTTCCTGGGCCTCACTGACAACTGGGTGTTGGAGATTCTGTTTTTCATACCATTTACAGTCACCTATGTGCTAACTCTTTTGGGGAACATACTCATTGTTGTTACCATAGTCTTTAGTCCACGTCTCCACACTCCCATGTACTTCTTTCTGAGCAATCTGTCCTTCATTGATATATGCCACTCATCTGTCACGGTGCCCAAGATGCTGGAGGGTTTGCTTTTGGAGAGGAAGACCATCTCCTTTGACAACTGCATTGCACAGCTCTTCTTCCTTCATCTTTTTGCTTGTGCTGAGATCTTTCTGCTGACAATTATGGCTTATGACCGTTACGTAGCTATCTGCATTCCTTTGCACTACCCCAGTGTGATGAACATGAGGGTCTGTGTGCAGCTCGTCTTTGCACTATGGGTGGGGGGCACTGTTCATTCACTTGTGCAGACCTTCTTGACTATTCGTCTACCCTACTGTGGCCCAAACATTATTGACAGCTACTTCTGTGATGTACCTCCTGTCATCAAGCTGGCCTGCACAGATACTTACCTTACAGGGATTCTGATCGTGTCCAATAGTGGAACCATCTCCCTCACCTGTTTTCTAGCCTTGGTCACTTCCTACACAGTGATCCTGTTTTCTCTTCGAAAACAGTCAGCAGAAGGTCGTCGGAAAGCCCTGTCCACCTGCTCCTCCCACTTCATGGTGGTTGCCCTGTTCTTTGGGCCATGTATCTTCATCTACACTCGGCCAGACACCAGCTTCTCCATTGATAAGGTGGTCTCTGTCTTCTACACAGTGGTCACCCCTTTGTTAAATCCTCTCATTTACACCTTGAGGAATGAGGAGGTGAAAAATGCCATGAAGCAACTCAGGCAGAGACAAATTTGCTCATGAAGTCATGTTGTGATGACAACAACTGTTATGGCTGTATCCTTAAAGTGGAAATAACAAGTGACTCTTAGGCACCGAGCCATCTCTGGAGCCTTGAAAATTTCTCCTCCTCCTCCTCCTCTTCCTCCTCCTCCTCCTCCTCCTCCTCCTCCTCCTCCCCTCCTCCTCCTCTTCGTCCTTCTTCTTCTTCAGACAGGGGCTCTCTGTAACAGCCTTAGCTGTCCGGAAACTAGCTCCGTAGACCAGACTGCCTCTAACTCACAGAGAGCTACCTGCCTCTGTCTCCCAAGTGCTGGGATTAAAGGTGTGTGCCACCACTGACCTGCTCTATTTTCTTAATAAAATATTCAGATAAAAAGAATTTTGACAAAATTGATTCTAACTTTTTATTTTTGTGGTTGACCCTTTCACACTGGAATCTTGTCTACCTCAAAGTCTCAAAGATTTTTGCCTGTTTTATTTGAACAAATTTTATAGTTTTATTTTTAAATTCTAGGGGTATGATCTCTTTGGGGTTTAGTTTTTAGATGGAATAAGTTTGAGATTCATTTTATTCACCCATTGCCTTGATTTGGCACAGTTTGAGATGACTGTTACTATTAAATTACTTCTACTGAAAATGACTTGATCTTTCAAGTGTGGATTTATTTGTAATTCCTTACTCTGCCACATTGACTTACATGTCTATACTTATATACGAGCACACTGTTTTGGATATTTCAGTTTTATAGGGGGCTTGAAGAGATGTTATGTGAGTCATCTCTCATTGGTCTTTCTCAAAATTGTTATGTATTTTCATGTGCATTTTGGGAAGTCTGTCTACAGAGGATAATGCTGGAATCTAGACTGGGATCACATCATCTCCAGAGGCAACTTGGGAGAGAGTGAAACTGAACAATACTCAATCTCAATCCATTAATTTGAATGAGCCTATTATTTACTTATATTTTATTTTATATATTATTTTATGTATTATTTGTGTCTTTCACATCATGCATCTCTATCTCATTCATTTCCCAGTCCCTTCATATCCAACCCCTGCCCTTGCAACCTGCCCCAATAAAATAAAATTTAAAAGCAAAAAGAGAGAACGAACAAATCAATTTGTTTTCTTTATTAATATTATCATTTAAATTTGTGATAAAACACAGTTCATTAAATTTATCTCCAAATATCTTGTTCCTTGAAAAATATACACAGTGGATTTTATTCAGTTATAAGGAAGAATGAAATTATAGCAGTTGCAGGAGCATGGATGGAGCTGGAGATGACTACATTAACTGACACAAGCCAGAATTGGGTATGGTGTTGTATGCCCGTAACCTCAGCATTTGGCATAGGGAGGCAGGAGTATCAGGAGTTCAAGGCCAGCCAAGGAAATACTGTGAGTTTGCAGTCAAATGCTCTACCACTGAGCTATACCGCCAATACTGTGAGTTTGAAGTCAGCTTGGATTTCATGAGGCTTTGTCTCAAAACAAAAACAAAACCCATCAACCAACAAAACAACAACAGCAACAAAAAACAAGACAGACTTGAAATAACAGTCATATATTTTTACTTATACATGACTCCTGTAGGTTAAAAAAACAGTACAAATAAGACATGACAACAGGATAAGGACCACATTGTAGGAAGCATCTAAAAGAATGGAGTGATGGGAACAAGCAAGACAATAAATAAGAAGAGACATCTCTATTTATCAGGAATGAGAAGGGGGAATAAGAAAGGGCAATTCTGGAAGTAAAATACAATGACACAAATTTATGAAAATCATTTTGCACAATAAAGTTATAAAAAATAAAATCAAATATTCTCTTAACTTGTCTACCATCACTTTATTTTATAGACAATTTTCAAGCCTTTAGGGGGCTATAGTTTCTTTAAAAGTAGTGTTTGCACACCAGACAGGCAGAGAACTAGGTAGGTTCAGTCCAGAAAGCTGATGCCTCAGCAGCACCAAGTCAGTGATGAAAAGCCAGGAACATCCCTGGAAAGTCAGTGGTACTGAGTTTGAGTTTTCCCTAGAGGGCCAAAGACAATGAAGTCTGATGTTGGCATCAGTAGATGCCCAGGCTCTGAGAAGCAGCAAAAGCAGACAGGAGCTAGTGTTTTGTTTTCCTCATTGCTATTGTTAATTTCATTTTAATATGCAGAAATAACATTGCATAGGTTATCTTTATGCCACCGACATTGCTGAATTCAATCACAAGTTCCTCTAGACAAATTCTCTTTCCCTCCTCTTCCCTGTCCACCTCCTTCTTCCTTTCCTTTCTCTGTACGTCTATTCCTCTTTTGACAGAGATTGAATGCAAGGCCTTACAGATGTTGGCAAGTGCTCCACCATTGAGCTGCTGCGCTTTAGACTTTCTGTAGAGCTTTCAGTTTTCTACCTTGGTAGCAGCAACATGATGAATGTTTTGCTTCTTTTTGGTCTGTGTCATGTTTGTTTTTTTTTCTGCCTTACTGTGCAGACGAGTTTCTATAAGACAGTATAGCACAGGGGTTTTGTAGTATAGGCAGATTTGCTTGCAACTGAGGAGGTTCAGTGGTTCCTAAAGTATAGAGTTGGGGCCAGAGAAATGGCAACTGTTTCCTTGCTATGCAGAGTGTTTAATTTCATGAGGATTTGTCATCAATTATTAGGATTATTTTCAGAGTGACTAGAGGAGTCCTATTCAGAAAAACACTTTTCTATCCCTACATTTCCTCTAACAGTTTTAGAGTTTCAGGTCTTACACTAAGTGGTTTGATCCATTTGTAATTGATTTTGTTTGTATTTGGGGAGATATAGTTATCTAATTTCATTCTTCTACATATGGATATGCAGTTATTAGTATCATTTATTGAAGAGACTATCTTCCCTTCAATGTATATTTCTGGATTCTTCATTAAAAAAATCAGGTGTCTATTGACCTGATTTCTATTTGGGTCCTCTGTTCTGCTCCATCCATCTGCATGTCTAGTTATTTGCTTATACCAATCTGCTTTTGTTATTCATGGCTCTGTAATAAACTTGAATGCAGATATATGACACTGCCAGTATTATTCCTTTTATTCATGCTTGCTTTGGCTTTTTGGTGTAGTTTTTACTTCCACATGAATTTTAAGATTATATTTTCTATTTCTTTTTTCCTTTTTAATTTAGTTTTTATTCATAGTCATAAACATGACTGTGCAGTCTAGCTAGACTTGGAGGGGAATTAGGAAAGTATGGAACCCAAAGAACTTCAATGAGAGCAGAGATTACAGGGTATTGTGAGCAGATGGGGTGGAGGTGCTCTCCTGAGCTACAGATGGAATGGTGCAATTATAATTAGAGTTGTCCATAGTTGGAAATGTTGATGTTGCTTGTTTTGCTATTCCTGGACCCTGAACGCCCCATGGCTTCCACAATGCTCATGCGTTCCTTCACCTTCCCAAAGACCACATGTTTGTCAGCCACTCAGTCTCAGCAGTGCAGATAAAAAACTGGGAACCATTTGTATTAGGTCCAGTATTTGCCATGGACAACATGCCAGGACCTGTATGCTTCAGGATGAAGTTCTCATACTCAAATTTCTTCCTGTTGATGGACTGGTTGCCAGTGCATTTATGGCCTGTGAAATCACCATCCTGGCACATGAATCCTGGAATAATTCTGGGAAAGGAAGAACCCTTATATCCAAATCCTTTCTTTCCAGTGCTCAGAGAATGAACGTTTTATGATGTCTTTGGAACTTTGTCTGCAAAGAGCTCAAAGGAGACATGACCCAAGAACTTAAATTGGCTGGGATATCAAAGAACATGGTGGGGTTGACCATGGCTGCAGCAAGTGGTGACAGGGGACAGTAGCATCTGTAAACCTATATTTTCTATAGGCATTGAGATTTTGTTAAGGAGTTTACTGAGTCTGTAGACTGCTTTTGGTAAAATAGCAATTTTACATTATTAATTTCTTCAGTCCATAAACATGAGAGTGGTCTCTTTACCTTCTAGCATGCTCTTCAATTTATTTCTTGTGTTTTAACATTTTCATTGTAGAAATGTTTCATTTCCTTGATTTAGGTTTATTCTAATGCAATTGTGTATGGATTATTTTTCTTTTCTTTCCAATCATATTTGTGATTGAGTTTACTGATTTTTGCATCTTAATTTTGTATCTTGTTACTTTTCTGGAAGTTTTAATCAGTTACAAAAATTTTCTGGTAATAAAGATAATTTGCCTTCTTTTTCTACTTGTGTCTCTTTTCTTTCTTTTTCTTGTCTTATTATTTTAATTAAGACTTAACTGAACACTATGTTGAAGAGAAGTAGAGAGGATAGGCAATCTTGTCTTGTTCCTGCTTTTTGTGTATTTGGTATAATGTTGGCTATAGGTTTATTGTGTAAAACATTTATTATGTTAAGGTATATCCTTTCTATTTCTGCCTCTTCAGGTATTTTTTTTTTTATCATGAAGGGGTTCTGGGTTTTGTCAGAAGCCTTTTCTGCACCTACTGGTCATTGTCTTAGTTAATGTTCTATTTCTGTGAAGAAACGCTATGACCATGGCAACTTTTACAAAGGAAAACATTTAATTGGAACTTGCTTACACTTTCAGAGGTTTAGTCCATTATCAACATGGTAGGAAGCATGGCAGCATTCAGACAGATGTAGTGCTGGAGAGGAGCTGAGAGCTCTACATCAGGATTGGCAGGCAGCGGAAGAGAGAGCCACTGGGCCTGGCTTGAGCATCTGAAATCTCAAAGTCCATCCCCTAGTGACACACTATCTTCAACAAGGCCAGACCTACTCCATCAAGGTCACACCTCTTAATCACTCCATGATGACTTATTATTCAAACATAAGAGCCTATGGGGGCCATTCTTATTCAAACCACCACATTCCATTCCATGGTCCCTAAAGGCTTGTAGCCATATCATAATGCAAAAATGCATTCAGCCCAACTTCAAAAGTCCCCACAGTCTATAACACTATAAGAGTCTTAATCCTGCTTGAAAGTCCAAAGTTCAAAGTCTCTAA